AACGTATGACTCTAAAGCACAAGAACACTTCTAAATGGGCTAAACGCATCAAGAAGCGTGGTGTTGATGTCCAAGATGATGGAACTCGGGCTGCTATATCAGAACAGCTTCAGCAACATGCTCTTTTAACTCGAAAAAGAAATTCCATGCATGATGATGAGACTAGTAGTAGTGATGACAGCACAGAGGATGATGATGACATCTCAGGGGATGAGGACGATGCATCCAAACTAAAATTGTTAGAGAATGGAAAGAATAGGACACTTGAAGTGCTAGGGGAAGATGATGATGATAATGACATGCCCAAATCAGGAGTCCTTTCTCTACCTTTCATGGTACGCTTTAGCCTTTATGTTTGTTTATTGTAACACTTAATCTCTTGCAACTGAAAATCTTGGTGATGCATTTGGTAGGTTCGTGGGCAGAAGAAGAAAAAAGAGGCAGCCGAAGAAGAAGCCAGGCTTGCTTTTCAAGACTATGATTCATCATTGAAGCAGTTGGATGGTGATGAGGATTTCAAAGACAGTGCAGGCGGTTCTTTGAGTGGCAGAAAGGTATATGGCGGTGCACAAAAGAAACAGGTTCCACAGTCCAAGAAGAAGGTTAAGGCTAACACTGATAATTACTTTGACAATACGGACAGTGAAGAAGAAGAAGAAGATGATGATGATGATACCATGGATAAACATGGGAGGATGACTTATACACAGAAAGATGTCAATATTGACCCTAATATTCTTCGAGAGGAGTCAGAGATCGGGCATGATCCTTTGTTTAAGGTGAAAAAATCGTCAAGAGATATAAATCTCTATAACCTTCCAGTCCCACATGATATAACTAGTTTTAATGTTTTTATTGCATATAGAGCTTTGATGATATTGATAAAGATGAAGGGCCTAAGATCAAATATGAAGTTTCTTTGTCTGCAACCAATTCTTTAAAGAAGGTATGGTATTGGTATAGTGTTATGCTGGTTTCAGTTTTAGGAATTGCTGTAACTCTAAATTTGTAACTGCAGAAGAGGAATAGGAAAGATTGTAATCAGATAAAAGGCAAGAAATCACAGGTTGCAGAAGTGGCATCTGACATAGAGGAGGTAATAAATAGCAGATGATGTTGTTTGTGTTTGGAAAAAGTTTCTTAGTTTGTGTATGGGATGATGTGTTATATTATATGTAGCAGCATGGGGATGATGATGATGAGGAAGGTGGTGGTATGGTGGATGGAATGATAACATCGGGGACGGATTATGAGTTGCCATCACAGGATGATCTGATAAGACGTGCTTTTGCGGGTGATGACGTGGAGGAAGATTTTGAGATGAGCAAACAAGAGATATTGAATGAGGAAAACCCGGAGCCTGAAAAGCCGGTGTTGCTTCCTGGATGGGGGCAGTGGACGCATATACAGAAAAAGAGAGGGCTGCCGTCTTGGATGTTGGCTGAGCATGAGAGAGCCAAAAAGAAGAGGGACCAGGACCTCAACAGAAGACCCGATGCACATCTTAAGCATGTAATCATATCCCAAAAGCTTGACAAAAAGGTAAACTCTACACATCTCCACTCCATAATTTTTTACTAATCATCATCAGCATTTTCATTTTTCATTTTTCATTTTTCATTTTTCATTTTTCATTTTTCATTTTTCATTTTTGATGCAGGCTGAGAAACTGCAGACAAAGGTGTTGCCGTATCCATTCAAGGACAAGGAGCACTTTGAACGGAGCAACCGTATGCCTCTTGGTCCAGAGTTTAACCCTGCAACAACAATCGGCTCACTTAATCGCCCTGACGTACGTACATTATTTTTCCCTTTTTCACTCACTACTCACTACTAATACTATGTTTCTTATTTTCATTTCTTTTGAATATATTCTTTATTATTTTGATATTAAAGGTTGTGAAGAAGCCTGGTGTCAGCATAAAACCAATCAAGTTAAGGAAGCATCATTGACCCACATAACATCATGCCTGCCAATCAGTTTTGAATGAGATTCATCAGATCACCTGTAATTGTAATTCTTTCTCTCGCATATTTTTGCAGTTTCTCCGGATTTTCACATGAAAAAACTACAAGTTATGTAATCTTTTTTTTTTTTTTTTTTTTCCCACTTTCTCAAGGCATTTAAATGATTTGTTAAATGAGTTGGAGCTTTTATTTTTGCAAATACTGTCTGTGGTTTACCTTATACGAAACTTGATATTTAAATTTAAAGTAATTAATAAATGGTGGTTAGATGTCTCAATGTGTATGAGGGGAGATACATATCAAATGGCTGCACTGGACTGAACCAATGGCCAAAGGCCAAAGGATCAATTTAATAATCCTGTTTAGACTTTTAGATTGGCTGTTTGATATGAGTCAATATGCTCTTAGCTGTTCTGTATAAAAAGCATTTTGATTTTAGAGAATCCTCGTAACTTCTAACAACATAAGTACAGTCTACCAAACTATCGGTTGCAATCTTGAATCTTGATGATCGAGTGTTTAACAAGTATATAACATATGGCACTAGGAATAATGACTTTGTTCCCATAATATACTTTAGACATCACTTGTGTTTTGACCCATACTAGAATTTTAGCTCGAAATGAAACTTCTCATTCCAATATAAGTGAAAAGAATCCTTTTTATACTTCAATATTTTTTCACTCTAATTAATCAATTAATAATTATTATTTGAAAAATATTTTGATTTGTAGTAGTTAAAAGATAAGTTGAAGAGGTGTGGAAGTTTCAAATAAATAAATGGTCAATATTATAATAAACTAGATGGATATATGTGCAACGATTGTGTTTTTTTTTTTTTTTTTTTTTTTTTTTTTTTTTTTTCATATATATTGAAAATAATAAGATATTAACTACTAAATAATAACTTTTACACTAAGTTATATATACATTTATAATTATTTTGAACCATATATGCATCTATCATAATCATATCATTATATAGCATTTACTTGCGGTTTGCGTTTAAATAAAACTAAAAATGATTTCGATTTATTATTACAATTTAAGATTATGATTAATTAATTTATAAATTATTTGTCTATTGATTGTTTTTCTAAATGATTTTGATCATAAAGATGTTTGTAAGGGTCGTTTGATATGATATCTAACTAGTCCAAAGAGAGATTGGATCCATAAAATATCAATTGACATATTTGATTGGGATTATAGATGTACAATCGGTTCGATAAAAACACAGGACTCGGTCCTTGCTTTCTACTTATGGACCGAGAAAAAAAAAAACAAAAACAACTTGTTGCGACAGGTTCTGATTTCATCCCCTCCCCCGTTAACCTCCCATCGATGAAGCAACAAGACTTTCCATTAGCGATCAAAAGCCACAGTGGAGCAAGCAAGTCCACTGAATCCATGGGAGCATGCATCTTATTTCTGTTAATACCCCACCATCTCCACCGCAGCAAGCAAGTTCGACGAATCTTGGACCTCAAATCGATTTCTCCAAATCGTTTCCCACATCCACTTCGTCTACAGGCACAACCCGACAACAACTTCTTTGATTTCGATTACAGATATCCCCGACGAATTCTTTGATTTCGATTAACTGGGTAAGAATCTTGATTTCTCATGTTTTTCTTCTTTGAGTTCGATTACAGTTGTAAAATTCGATTGGTTCCATTGGTTCAATTTGAAGCTTTAAAATTCCAGGTTCTTTATATTGCTTAAAGTTTCTTTTTGGGTTTTATATGTTTGAGTTAAAGCTTTAAAAAATATAGGTTCCTTTTATCGGTTTGAAGCTTTAGGTAATATTCATGTTTGATAAATTGACAAGGAATCAATCGAGAATAGCCTCAAATTCACCTTGGATTTTCATCTGCTCACCAAGTGTTCGATCACTTGCTTGAGTGAATCTTGAAGTGATGATTATCGGGAGTCCAAACCGAAGAACATAGAGAAAGAAAGAGACAAAAGGGTAGTGAAGAGATGGAAAACGATGCAGGGCACAACAAAGAACTCCACTCTGCTTGTGTAATCATTTCTATATGTATATATATTTTTTATTTTTATTTTTTAATTTTAAAACATGATGATAACTCCTGATTGAAATAGAATAAAAGTTAGTTGTCTAAATTTGCAACTTGGTTTTTGTTTTTTGTATCACCAAATTGATTCACTTGTTTGTTGTAAATAGCTAACGGAAATCATTGAATTGAGTCATGTGTTTGTTGTAAGTAGCTAAGGGAAATCACCAAATTGATTCATTTGTTTGTTTTATCATCAACTCCGATCAAAGCTCATTGTTTTTTCCGAATCAAGAATAAAATCCATTGTTATTTTTTGGCGCTATATAAACTTTTGCATAAAGGGGTAATATGGTTATTTTTTATCATTCATCACAGTCAGTTAGAGATATAATCAAACAACTTGATTTCAGTCAAATGTGGGCTCAGTTAGAAGTTCTAACTCAATAAATACTAACTCCAATCGATAACTATCAAACGATTCCTAAGTTAACGCAATGTAATTTTTTTAATATCTATATTCACAATATTTAAACATTTTTAACCATTTTGAGAAATAGTCTTTAATAAATGTTTAAGTTTATTTTAAATTTTGATTTATGTTTTGGATTTAACATAGTATTTAAATTAACGAAAAAGTATATTATAATAATCATCTTAAAAGTCTATCAATAATTAGATAATATTTTGTATTTAATAACATATTTTAATTATATTAAGTTAAAAATTGAAAGGTAGTGAAGTTTCAAATGCCTATGTATAATATAAATTAATAAATAGATATAAGTTTTATAGCCTATGTTTAAGAGTCTGATTGAATATGATTATAATTGAACATTTACGGTTATTAAAGAAAAAATATATTGTTTCATATGAATTAAATGATTAAATCGTTTTAAATTGAACGATTAGTGATGAAAAGTAAAAACCGTAAAAAGAATTTTCAGAAACGATCCATTTAATTAGTATTTGATGAAAAAAAAAAGAACAATTCCCTATTTGTATTTAAAGATACGGTATCATCGTTATCCTCGCCAGTCGCCACTGAACACCCTCCCTCGCACCAAACCACAAAAACCATATTACACCCTACTGTTACACACAACGGCTTATCTTCTTCATTCTTCAAACACACCCACCAAAAATGGAAGCTAAACCTCATGAATTCGAAAACCCTGATTCTGAAATCCCAACTGAAGACCAATCGCACCTCTCCATTGCTCCCTTTACCTCCATTTCACTTTCTCTTCCCATCCACTTCATCTCCCCACCAAAAATCTCACCTTTCCCTTCCCAAATCCCTAAATTTGTGAAAATCCATAATCAAATCTCTTCCCTTTGCAATCTTTCTCTATCTTCCAACACACTCAACCCCACCAAACCATTCTTCAAGTCCACCGTCTCTGCAAACCCTCTTCAAAACCCATTATCTCTAAACCCTCGCCGCCCATCTGACCCCTCCAATGCAGCCGGCGGACGTCGCGCCTCCGTGGTGTGGTTCCGTAACGATCTTCGCGTTCACGATAATGAATCTTTGTCCTCTGCTAACAATGAGTCAATGTCAGTGTTACCAGTTTATTGTTTCGACCCTAGAGACTATGGGAAATCTTCATCTGGGTTCGATAAAACCGGGCCATACCGTGCATCTTTCTTGATTGAATCGGTTTCCAATTTGAGAAAGAATCTTCAAGCCAGAGGGTCGGAGCTTATAGTTCGAATTGGAAAACCTGAAAAGGTTTTAGCCGAGTTAGTAAAGGAAGTAGGCGCAGAGGCAGTGTATGCACATAGGGAAGTGTCTCATGATGAGGTGAAGGGTGAAGAAAAGATCGAGACAGCATTAAAAGACGAAGGAGTGGATGTAAAGTACTTCTGGGGAAGTACATTGTACCATATTGATGATTTACCCTTCAAGTTGGAAGAAATGCCCACCAATTACGGTGGGTTTAGGGAGAAAGTGCAGGGGTTAAAAATCAGGAAGACGATTGATGCACTTGATCAGTTGAGAGGGTTGCCGGCTGGTGGTGACGTGGAGCCTGGTGACATTCCTTCTTTGGTTGATTTGGGTCTTAATCCTACTGCTACCATGAATCAGGTATGAGTTTATTATGGTCGTGTGGATGAATTTATGTTGATTAGGTATTGAGATTTGAGAGTGTGGTGTTAGGCGAAAGCAACTGCAAATGCTTCACTTGTTGGAGGTGAGACTGAAGCACTTGAGAGGCTCAAAAAGTTTGCTGCGGAGTGCCAAGCACAACCTCATAAAGAAGGAAGCAATGATAGCAGCAGCATATATGGTGCAAATTTCTCTTGCAAAATCTCCCCATGGCTTGCAATGGGATGCCTTTCCCCTCGTTCCATGTTTGATGAGTTAAAGAAATCTGCTTCTAGGTATGTAATATGTACTTGTTGATTTACTTAAGAGAAGAGAATCGTCAAATCTTTTTTATTTCATGAGCTTGAAAAAAGAGAACTAAATTTGTAGGACCATTTCTGCCCGCAAAGATGGTGGTGATACCGGGACCAACTGGTTGATGTATGAGCTCCTATGGAGGGATTTCTTCAGGCAAGCGCAAGTCAATGTCAATCAAATCAACCAAATTTGTTTTTGTGTTTTTTTTTTATAACTTTTAAGATGATGCTTGTTTGTCTATAAATAAAAAAATCGCAGATTCATCACCAAGAAGTACAGTTCTGCCAAACAAAATAATGCTGCTCCAGTCACAGCTTCTACAACAGGTGCAGCAGTGGCATGATCAGGTTATGAGGAATTGAGATATGTTTCAAGACCAGAAACACACACAGATTAGATACCAACATGTATCTCTTCTTTTGGTCAACCGCATCCCATATTTAACTTGAGAGATTTATTCAGTCAAACAATGTTTTTGTTACATTAGACTCTTAGTGTCTTGTCATTTGAGATGCTTTATGAATTCCATGTTAATGCATATATATAAAATATATATTCTGTGTAAAACATTCATATTATATGGCCGACAGCAATTCAAGAACATGGTATTTCTTTTACTTCCATACCAGCCCAGGTGCAATATATAATAAATCCAATCCAAACAACTGTGGCCTGTGGGGAATTTATATAAAGCGTCTGAAGAAAAAAATACATACATAAAATAAAAAATTAAAAATACAAAGGAATGGGTAAAACTAATAAATACAAATAGAAATGGAAAAAGAATGTAATTGGTGAAAGTCAAATGATTCCAGAAACTTTTAGGGAGGATAAGACTACGAATATGAGCCAAAGCAACATGAAATACGCACATGTGACCCAAGCCCAAACCCGTGGTCCTCCAAGCTCACCACCAAACACAATCCGTCTGACTACCAAAATTGAGATACACCCAACAGAAGTTGAGAAGAAAACCAGCAATGAGAAACTCAGCCCCTCCGCATTCTCAATTCTCAGAGGCTCTCCATATGCTATGAAGTTGTAAACTGTGTCAATCAGCCATGGAACTCCAATCCCCACATAGATGTTCACTGAATTGCTACATACATACATGCAGGAAAACCAAAACCATATCATCTTCAGTTTCAGTTTCAGTTTCTTTCCAAAATATATATACTATTCAAGTATTCAACACCAAAAACCAAAAAGTAGTATTATTATTGTTATTATTATTAAATATTAAATATTAATTTAACCTGCAGGTAATGTTTGCAATGGCAGAATCTGCAGTTGTTTGCCTTTCAGCAGCGATTTTACTTGCCACTAGATCCGGCCACGAGGTTCCACCTGCCAATGCAGTGAATGCTATCACATAACTGTTAATTCCTGCAAAGGATCAACTCGAATTCAAAGAATTGTTTGTTTGTTTTAAATTTAAAATCAGTTGTTGATACTTGATACACACCTGTAACACAGCTGATGAGGTCCGTGAGCCTTGTAACAATATAAGCTATTGCACTGATGAAAATCAGAGAACAGATAAAAGCAATCCACCCATGAGCTATCTGATATGGAGGCACAAATGCAAACACCAGTTTCCATGGAGCAACAATAACATTCCAGAAAACCTTTGCCCAACCCCCACCCCCCCTGTTATTTGTATCTCTCAATTTCGTGCTATCCAACTGTCAATGAACAAACGGCTTTACACCAGTAAATACTCAAAGACCATAACATCAACATGTGGTACCAATTTGCCATACCATGAGAGCATCGACAAATTGGTGCTTCCAAATTGAAGCAACATCGGATTCCGGATAGATATCAAAATGCTTATCAGATGGATCACTTAAAGGCAGATGTTGATAAGTAGAGTCTGCAGCACCAACACAATTACAACAACTTCACATAAATGCATAATTATTCTTATATTCTTGATTTGTGAAATACAAGTAATACCTGACGCATTTCCTTGGTGGATGGAAAATATATCTGCAATACCTTTTTCTGCTGGAACCCATTCCTCTGGTCTTTCACTCCGGTCCCTGTAACATATACAAATGCTAAGCTTTGACAAAACATTGATTAGCAAGTAGCAACTTCCTTCCTACTTCCTAGAGAGAGGGAGGCATGGTATCATACAGAGGAAGAGACACCAAGGGCCAACGTTTGTCTTGGGCATATGCGTGTACAAGCAACATCCCAAATTGCAGCACAGTCAACAACGCCTCCCACACAGTGATAACATTTGGACTCCATACCTGCAACAACCAAATTCCCAAATTCAAATTATTACAAAAACCCTTTTCCTTTCCCTACAAACAAATAAAACACCACCTCCAGAATTATGTAGAGCCAAATATATGCCCAGAACGACCAAAACAGTTCTACGATCCAAACTCCCAAATCCGATATCTTTTTCACTTCTCCAGCTTTCGGAACCACCACACACACCGCGTGGATAGGAAACAAGTCGAATGCAGCAGACCCAACAAGCGTTCCAGGCCCTAACCCTATCAATTTTAACCACACACACACACACAATAAAATCGTTTGCAATTGCTGTGTGTTTCTCTAGCCTATCATATAAATTGAACTCAAGAAACAAACTGCTTGTGGAGTGATCGATCGCGCACCTCCAGCATACAGTTTGCCAATATTTCGTATTGCATCGATGGTGGCCAAAGAGATTTGTGGGAAGCTAGTACCAAAAGCCAACAGAGTAATGTCTGCAATCGTATAATTCCACACTTTTTCATGTCTCACACGTTGTGTATTGTTCCGAGGATCTATCTCCACCACCGTTCGAGTTTGTTGCACAACATGTTCCATGGACCGGAAAAACCTTTCAGTTATTGCCGATAGTCCAATGAAACAATAAGCAAGTGCTAAGAAATAAAAAAATGTACGAAACCCATCTCCCATTGATATTTCTCCGGGGAAAAGAAAATAGGTTTCGCATGCCTTCTCCACAATAATGTGGTTAAATGTCTTTCCGGCTGCCGTTTTATCATCATGCACCATTTCCTTTAACACCGTAGATCAGAAACCCTGGTTAATTTATGACCAAGGACGGGTATGGGATGTATCAAATCAAATTAATTTGGAAGGAGTGAAAGTAAGAGAGAAACGGGCGAATTGGGATCGACAACCAGAACCAGACGTCCAGGCATGCATGATCCATATGTCATTGTTTCGATTTGTTAATTAATCTTCAGGAGCAGCAGGAACCTAAGTTGCATGGAAACGGATAAGGCAATGGGAAACGGATAAGGAACGGAGACGGGAAACGGCAAAACTCAAAAATTCAAGATACGGATAGGCAGAGATACGACGATATAAAAATATAAAAAAAAACATATATTATAAAAAAATCATGGTTACAAAATTGAAAATTCTTAATAATAGACTGATAACTAAACATTTAAAGTTTAAGGATTATATTTATGAAATCTGTAAAACCATAAGGGTGTTACTGCAAATTATTTGAACAATTTATATTGTCGTGTATCCATTAACCAATAGGATGATAGCATTTAGTCACTTCTTCAATCAAAAGGCTCCATGTACAAAAGTTAACGTGGATTCTAGAATATATATACGCTACTCGAAGACTCTTTCTAGTTTCTACTGCCGCACCATTCGGAAGCATTTCGTCCGATCTCTCATTCTGGAGAATCAAATGGAGTCACACGGCGTCGGTCTCCGCTGTGTTTCAGAGCTCGTATTTTGGATCGCCGGTATTTGGACAACTTATATATACAAAGGTGTTCTTCAAGAGACTGTGTAACTAAGGCTTTTTCCTGAACTAATTCATACTCTTCTTTTTTTCGTTTTATCCCTTAATCTCTGTAATGATCATTAAATTGATTTCATATCTATCCGTCCAATAAACGTTTCGAATTTTGGATTTAATTAGAGCAAACAACTGTATAAAAAAATGGAAATTTGCAGAAACTTCACAGAAACGTTTCTTGGATACCCGATACGTCACGGAAACGTTTCCATGCGTATCCGTTTCCTGGCCGCTTCTTAGGCAGGAACACGTCTCTTCAAAGTCAGCCACGGGATTCACACTTGATAATTCATTTATAAACAAAAACACAAATTTTACACAAACTCATAAGCTTGTTTCATATTAGCCAAAAAATAAAATAAATAAATAAATAAATCCAACAATTAAACCCTAAAAAGAATTCTTCCACCTTATTTTTATGAGATCTTTTATTTACCAAAAAATATCACGAACAAAACAATTTTTTCTTTTATTCATTACATAGATGTTAAGTCTACGAAAAAAAAAACCTTAGAAAAAAATAATGTGAAAATAACAAGAAAATTAAAATTTTTGGTATTTACCCACACCTTCATGAAAATATCTTTCTTAGACTATTAGGTATAGGTCCGTTTTGGTGGTGTTATAACATTAAGCAACAAGAAGAGTAGGTGGTGTTCATAGTATTATAACACTTTTTAAGAGGAGAGAGATAAAGAGATAATTTGGCAGCCAATAAATGATCTCGTTTCTTCTTGTCATTGAGACAACAAGAAACAACACAACAAGATGCAACAAGAAAGAGGGGTGATGTTTTTGATGTTACCACACCGTAATGGGCTGCCACATCAGCCATAACGGCGTTGTGGTGATCCATACCACATGTTCTTAGGAAAGATCGCAAAAATACCCAAAAACTTTAATTTTTTTTTTTTAAATTCCCGAATGTCTTTAAATTTAATTGTCTTAGATCTAAGATGTTTTTTTCTTAGACTTAACATTTGCTCAAGAAAAACAAAAAAATTCCTTTTATTTCACAAGAAACCTTTGGAAATACCAATAATAATAATAATATGATTTTCTTCTTATTTTTCGTATGTATCCATCCTAGATACAAGATGATTTTGAAGTATATCTAAGTATCCAACATTTACATAAAAAATATTATGAAAACACAACTTACTCCGTGAAAATGAAAATGAAAATTTATTTTATTCGTTTTGAAAATGGTTTAATAAAATTTTAAATTGGACTTTTTTAAAATGAAGTTAAAATATGAAAAATTAGGTTTTTTACGAAAAAAATTGTCCTTTTATTTTGAATTTTACAAACCATATAGACCAATTAGGTATATAGACCAATTAGGTAGACTCGTTGATATCTTTTGTTATCATACAAATTTAGACAAACCATATAGACCAGTGGTGAGTTTTGTTTATCTCCTTTAGGAAGCCTTTCTCATTTAGAAATTAAAAGGGAACAAATTTAAAATCTAAAAGTCTTTCTCATTTTAGAAATTTGAAGGTAACAAATCTAAAAATTAATGAAATAGAAGAATCCAAATGGGG